CACTTACTCTATACGTAGCCCAATGCTTTCTGTTTCTATCTTTAAATCGGAAAGTAACCTTACTTTAATTAACAGCTTCCTCGAAATTAAGAACAAATGTTCATACACTAAAAGTTCGATAATCCGATACGAAACTTAATGCAAGGCTCGAGTAAAATGGCTAATAAACAATCTCTGTGTAGGTAGATGCACTATTCAGGAAATCAAAATGTAGATTAATTTTACTTGGTCTTGGCACTGCAAGACATTCAGTAAATCAGCGAAGCCACAACCAGCGATGTGCAGGTAGGTACAGGTGCACTTCTAACAAATGTAAAATATGAAGTGATCTTACTTGAGACTTATAGATCCAGTGATAATAGTGATAATATGGTGGTTGGTTTGAGCTGGGCTTCTCACCATCTGCAGAGATTATGACTACTTATGTGAAGGCCTACCCTATGGTAGGCCACCACTCTTGTGGTGATGTTGTTACTATTAACAACATCACCACAAGAGTGTCTGTCCAATTTAATTGGTCTATGCACAATAATCATGCATGTATGATTGAAAGTCAGACAAAGAATGTGAAGATAAAGTTAAAGTCTCAATCATAGTTAAAGTCACAGATGAAGTTAAAAGTAAGAGTTGAAATTGTAGGCTGGTGATAAAGGGAGGCCAACATCTAGGTAATAAATGTTTGTCGAGTTAGGAAAAGTATCATCTGCTGTAAGCGCTTTTCTTAACAACTAAGGTAAAAACCAGAATATTTCATAATACACAATTTCTTCGCTAGGCAAAATAAGAAATAAATTTGTGAGAGTACTTCCCAAGTGTTTTTCAAAAGCTCTAAGAACAAAATTGATGAAAATGGCCTAAGCCAAGTTCAAATTCTAAAACTTGAATATTAAAGATAAGTAACTTACTGTAAAATAAGTAAAACCTCATTGTTGATTAAATGGTTGAATAATTCATTACCTGGAGGTAGAATAGTGACCAAAGTTTAACAGAAAAAGCCACTAGAAAAGGTGAACAAAACAGAATGGGGCATATAAAAGTCAAGCAAATATTGTAAATGCAAATAATGTGTGCTGTGATTAAATAAAAGTGTACAAAGAATAAAGTTTTAATATTTTCTTATCCATATCTATGAGTGATATCTGAAACACATTATAGGCAATTAAAAAGATCTATTAATATTGTTCTAAATTAACTATAATAAAACAAACGATACTCATGCATACACAAAATATGAAGCTCTACTTTTCAATCAGCTGTAGAACTAATATAAATAAAACTGGTGGAAGCAGCAAATGTAGGTTATATTTAAATAGAAATAAGAAAATAAAATGCCTATAAATTTGATAAACGACATGGCGTACAATTAATGTACTTTTCAAGAAAATGCTTGGAACATATACAGCTGAATTTAGAAGGTTCCCAATTATGCCTGTTGACAAAATATCCACGCGCTACGTTGTTCAGGATTTTCTGGAAATCTATAAATATTATTTCATATGAAAAAGTATTATTCCAATATAGGTAGGCCCAAAAGTTGATAGATGATATTTTTTTGGATTTTTAAAAGCATACTTTTACACATTTTATACAAACATGTCATAATACTGTCCTGTATAATATTTATAATTTTGATACTAACCTAAGAAACGTTATTCCAGTCGATTTTTTACAAAAACGACTGTCGCTAGACCAGGAACATATAACACAACAAGGCATTATAAACTTTATAAGTTTGTAACACTCAAAATTTGCTCAAATACAAATTAAATTCAAATTTATTAACACAAATGACACTAAAATATAACCTATAAAATTTGACAATTTGCACTCACAGTAATGGCGGACCGGTGCCACTTTCCGATTACGCATGTCGTATCCCTAGGTTGCCAGATCAATGGGATTTACTTGGTAACTCAAGATGGCCGACTTCCGTCGTAATATGTATAATTGGTTCCATGACGAGCCTCTTCGTGGCTGTATGTGATAAATAAACTTTGATAGTAGAAATCTGTAAAACATTCTACCACAGAAAACGTTTTTGTTCTGTCTTCTGTCATTTTTCATAAAACTGTCGGTTGTCGTATTGTCTGGGACAAGTAGATTTTTGAGTGGGGAAGAATTCCATTTTCTTGTGTCTGTTTCATGTTTTATTTGGTGTTATTGTTTATAGGACGAAATTGTTATTTTTGTTATACTTTTTTCCCGAATCTTTCAGTGATTTTTTTCTTAAAAATAACTCGGCAATAACAAAATGGAATATATACAAACTCGATACAACCTAATTTCACATCAGCAGGTGTTAGGTTGACACTACCGTCAATTCAAATCTGTTTGTATGAAATATTTTCTGTTCTATAACAGATTGTAATGATAATTTGGACAAGCTATTTATACCTAGGATATGTTTATACGACATGCAGGTAATATATCATACTAATTTCTAATTTTTATGCTTGTTTTCATTCCTATATGGTAGATCCTTGTTGAAGCTATTCTGTCCAATTGAATTTCTTTAAAGCAAAGGGAGTTCTTTTTTTACTTTTGTCCTAAGTTATATTGATTTCAATTTTCATAAGCAAATATTTGGTTACAATATTTTTCTTTATTCTCTAACTAAATGTTTGTTGTGATTAAAGAAAAGAAAGGGAGTGTCTCATATGTATACATACCTATCCAATAAAATTCAGTCTGGTAAAATATTTTGTTTTAAATATTATATATTTTAGCCTTATCATTAAATAATATCAAACTATTTTTCATTTACCTACTGTTTTATATTTATTTTAATGTTTTTTAATAATCTGGGAAAGTATAGATCGAGGTATAGATATTTCATATTTTTCATTTTTCTCTAAGCAATGTTATGATCACATTAAAAAGTTTTGCAGAATTAGTACTTTTATTTTTTTGACTAATTGGTAGAGTTTTTAAATTAGTAACTGTTATGTTATAAATTGGTAGGATTAACTAGTTTCTTAGGATGACAGTCTTGCATATATCTGAAATGTCATTTATATTATTGGTATTTGAAATTAATACCTACATTTAACATTTACCTATGAATATCTTTCATTCGATGGCTAACAGTTATCCTGACAATCTAATATTCTTATTCAAGTCATTGAAACCAACATAATAAAATAGTTTTGTCTAGACAAGTAATAACAAAAGTACTGAAAAATGACTATTCAATCTCTTATTTAACTAACTATATAAGAATTTAATGAGCGACTGATTTTGAAGTAGTTACTTTATCATCTGACACACCATAACATGTAATTTGTATCTATATTTAAATATGGTCCACACACAACATCAAAAATGTTAAATTGATTAGTAGGTACTAAGGAATCTATTAAAATAAGTCTAGTATATGTCTGGGTGAATAAATTATTTTAGTTTACAATATGCTTCCTGCTAACATTTAATAATTTATTTTTACCTGTATCCATGTTTGTTCAATACTTTCATGTTGAGTTACAGTTAAATATTGATGATCTGCACACTGCAACTAAAGATAGGGATAAGGCTTATAAAAATTATGTTTCAAACAAAACAGAAAGAAATAATGAATTATATAAACAAAAATGTAATATGGCTGTTTAAATTATTAGAAATGAAAAGAGAAAATATTATGACTCAAATTATGGAATATAATGAAGGAACTGTTACCTAAATATTAAAAATAAAATTATAAAAGACATACCAGATAGACTTTAATGATTTTTCCATTGTTTGTAAGTCTTAAAAAGTTTAATCTTGTTAGTTTTGATATGTCGAATAAAGGATGAAATTAATGTACTGTTTGATAAATATAATAAATTCCTTGTTAGAAACTAATACAGTTCCAGATGACCTAAAAATTTGAATAATAACACCAATAGCTAAGGTTGAGAATTCAAATTGGGTAGTGGTGCTTCCTATTAATATGTTATGTATAGTAGAAAGATTTTTAGAGAAAATAGTATATAATCAACTAATTCAACATCTGAAAGACAATATGTTTAATAGTAATCAATCAGGATTTTGGGGTAAACACAGCTTGTGAGAATCCACTACAATATGTTATGAATGACTCAAAATGCACTACAATAGCTTATAAGTTACCTGGACAATAGAAAACAAAAATTAAAATTTAAAAATATTTTATCAAAAGAACAAAAAATGAATTAGGTGTACCCAGAGAAGAGTATTGGGCCCATTATTCTTCCTTCTATATATTGATGATATTTCTCATGATGCAGGTGATTGCTCAAGCATCTGTTTGCAGATGATACTCTGCTGTGTTACTTTGCTAATATTTTTCAGGAAGTAACCACTAGGTACTGTAAATGCCACATTAAAGCAAATATATGATTTGGAATGATAGATAGTTCTTACTGAAAATAATGTGAAGATTATTATTGAAAATGATATCATTGAAGTGGTAAAAAATGAAATACCTATGAGTAGTAATAGACCATATGTTGTTTTTTAAAGATCATGCAAACTATATAGTTGAAACAATAGCATTTAAAATCAACTACTTGTACTGGTGATCAAAATATCTTAATAAATGATAATTGATTCTTTTATATAATACCTAGTATAATTTTGCCTGTACCAAACTGAATTTTGCTTGAAAAAGTTTATATTGTAACTTTTAGAGTTAAGAAAACTGAAATTAACAATTCTCAATGTTCATAATATTGATTATTATTAAAGAAATCATTAAAAAATAAATAATAGAAAGTATAAAATAATATTTTCAAAGAACTAAGATATAATAAATAATTTTTAAATTATTATGATTGTGAAAGATTTATAAACAATTATCCTTGTGGGGGCCTGGAATAGTGAAAAACAAACAAACATTTGCTACTAAATATATGAGTATAAATCCTCAATTTTAAATATTGGAATCGCTATATACCTGAAAAATTCACTATTTTATTATCTCTTATAGTTCAACTGCAAGGTGAAAAAAAGCTCCAAAAGAGAGCAATTGGCATGTTGGTACAATGGCAGGAAAACCTGAGTTGTCAACTGCTTCTGGCATTCAAAATGTCATAGTGTATGTTTCTGATGACAATTTTGCTCAAGCTTATTCATTAGGACAGCAGAATGTTCAAGAAGCCACTCAAATTGTTCAAGGTGATAGTTATGAGATCATCTCAGCACCTAATGCTTCATTGGTTGGTCCTGCAAAGCCTTATAGGGAAAAATCAACTGTTAAATTGATTGATTATCCATTAAAACAACCACCATTGAATGCCATACAACATAATGATTTCTACAACAACACAATATCACAAGGTGGATTCTCCCATGGTGATATATCATTCCACAATGGAAATTGTGACAATACTGAGTTGATGCAGGAAGATAAGCATGTTGGTACTGTATGTAATACAGTACGAGTGAGCGATGACTGCAACAACTGTGATGGTTATGAGGAACAGGATTACACAAAAGTTAATCTACAAGGCATCTGTTATGACAATGTTCGTTTGGAAGCAGCTGATTCGAGTTGTAGCAGTATGAGCTCATCAGAGGATGGAACACAGATGTTACAAAATCAACCCTCTGAAATGGTAGTGTATGATCCTAATGTCAATGTTCAAAGTGGAAATGTTGTATTGACAGTTGGACCTCAAACACAACCACATCCCCAAGTAATTGAAACTTTTGCTGGACTTCAAAGACCTACAATTACTATTCCACATGGTTGGAAAAGACTGTTGAATAATGGATCAATAATCTATCTAAGGTAAGTACAATATAGTCAGATATTTTTGGATAACCTTACAAACATTTGACTTTGCATATAGTTACCATTCTAATGCTACACTGAAATGTAAAAGATGATAAAAAGAATTCTTGAAAAGACTTGTTTGATTCCTCAGAAAAGGAAATATTTTTCAAAAATTTTACAGAATAACAAAATTAAAATTTTTATTTTTAGCCCCAGCTCTACTGCTTTAAGGTCGCCTGATCAAGTTAAAGAATATTTATTGACCGATGGTACTTGCAAGTGTGGTTTAGAATGTCATTTTAAACATGACTCAATTTTTAATTTTGACCCTAAAGTAAGTTTACTTAAAGGATATGTGTGATATAATGAGATAAGATGACTGAAATTTTTATATATGTTTTTAGGTTATTGGTAAACCATATAGTATGCTTCCTGATTCAAAATCTGGTAATATGGCAAAATTGTGTAACCACAAGAGAAAAATAATTCCATTGGTGTCAATACAATGCCCTCCTCCTGATCCGAATCTCAAGTTTCAAAGAGGTAATAATTTTTTGTTGATTAAAAAAATGTTGATATTAGTAAATGAGATTTTTCCTGTTTTCTTACCTCTCCTTTTCAACTTTATTTTGATAGTTAAGTTTTTCTACAACAAAATGGGGTAAATAATGTTTTTCTCATTATTGACTTATAGCTTTACTGTGCCCCTAGAGCAATCCAAATAATTTATTTAGAGGGAAAAAAATATAAATGGTAGAGGGGCTTGTGATAAGTAAAAAAAAAATGCAGGTAAAATTTTAGGGGGTTGAAAAGCAGTAAAAAATGGTTTTATCCTAATTTATAATGCAAAAATTGTAAATCAAGCAAAAATCTACAGCTTTTGTAGAAGATGCACATATTTTTGAAGGATTAGTATACCCAAAAATAAAGATTCTTACAATTGAATGGCGCGATCAGTTTTTTTTTTATTTAAACAAATTATATTAATAATTAAGGAATAATATATTGTTACTTTTGTTTTTATCCATTTTTGAGTATGTTTTTTAATCGTGACTAAAAATATATGTTAAAATGAAATAAATGAGTACCTAAAGAACTTTGTACAATAATTAACCACAGAATTTCTTTAAAAATCTTTTGGACTTTTTATTTAAAAAAAAATGTGCTTATTTAAGAAATGCAAAGGTATATTTTCACCAAATTTCATCAAAAATAAATTATTTTTGAATAAATTAAAAACAAAAAAAACAGTCTTTAAGTCTATTATTTAGTCTTGCTGTAGACAATAAGGATAGACAGATAAGATCGTTCTTTCACTCCTAAAGTGGCTAGACTTTTGACTTTCTTTCTCAAAAAGCCTTTTCAGATCGTCTGAATACACATATGTGGGGATAACATCTGAAAATGACAAACAAAGTTAAATATCTTGATGTTAAAAAAATCAATATAAAAAGCTGCTCTATTATGGGCCTTTAGATAGGTGGTAAAGATCACATGGTGGATTTAAACCAAGTATGATGCATTTGGCTTTACACTAAGGTTGTAGCTAGGGCTGTAACATACTCACTAGTCAATATGGTAGCACAAGGCTGGTAGGTAGCTGAACATAAAGATTGATTGGCCTGATAATAACAGGAGCTTTTAGAAGTATGCAATGAAGTTACTGAAGGTCTTCCTCCATTGTACCTTGTAGAGCAAAAAGAGGCTATTGTGGCGGCATACAAACATATTTGAAAGGGAACTTTCAAGATTGCCCTTAAAGCACTGCAAATATTAGAAGTATCAGTTTTTCCAGACCCTGGCAGATAATTTTAATGGGTGCCAAGACATGAAGGGTTGTTAGGAAGTGAGACAACAGACCTCACAGCCTGAATGGCATTTATGGTATTTCATATCAATATTTTAATGGATGCTACTTCTGGAATAGGTAAATCGAGAAATATGAGGTCTGGTTGGAACTTCCTGGATCCTGACAATCCAGAATATTCATAGAGAGTCCATCCAAAAACAACTGGTAAACTTTATGAAGGAAAGAAAGGCAATAATAGAACTCTACAAGACACTGCAGCCTTATATGATAATTTTGCATATAGAAAATGGGAATGGCACGTCAGTGTACTTGAATACATTAATATTGACCAGATTTTGTAGGAGTTCAGGGAGATGCAATAAGCTTAGAGCTTCAATATAAATGGGCTTTGAACCACACACTAATTCAGATAGATATTCTTTGCTTTCGCTAGGAACATAGAATTGTACCTCCGTGTGCTTCAAACTATAAAAACGAGTTGTTTTGCTGATTACATTCATTTATTGATGTACAATTTCAGACCTGGGTATGAAGAGAAAAAGGAGAAGAATTGGTTTGCCCTATGTAGAAGGAGTTCCTGTCTCTCAAATAATAACACGTGAAAAGGTGGCACTCAATCAAAATTTAGACAAAACGGGACCCCCACAACAAGTTAGTTTTAATAAAAAAATATATATTTAAATTCTTAACGTTCACAAAACGCATTATTTTAGATATGCTTAGAATCTCCTGGCAACGTTCAGCATCAAACTCGTTTAGTAAAATATCAAGATCAACAGGGCAATAAGGTGATATTGAGTGACGGTACGGTAATGGTTCAGCAAACCAATGCCGGCGATCTAACTTATCAAGGCGTAATGAAAAATGATCAAGTGCATCAAATCAATAATGCAGCGAACGTTTTCAATGCTCATAACCGTCAAATAATAGGTCCTAACGGACAAATCATACACGTACGAAGTATTCCCAATTCCAATCAAGGTAACGTGTATCACATGACAAATTCACAAGGACCTAGAATGGTGGCGCAACTACCCAAAGTTGATCAATCTGAAGAACACCGGATATTTATTAACAGGCAGCCTATAGAGCCGACCGGGCCTGGTAGGCCGAACGTTCAAATTGTTAGGGTTAATGCTCCAAATCAACAGAAAATCTTGGATAATCAAATTGATCGGAATCAACAAAAACGCCATATGCAACCTCTTCAGCCACAATTTTGTGCTAATCCTCCACAATATCAGCAGGTAAGTGGTTATATTAAAAGTTTACACAATTATATCTACTTGTATATACATTGCAATTCAAAACTATTTAATAAGTATCTTGGGGGTTGCTTCATGTTGACTGTGACTATTTTTATTTTAATCTTTTTGGACTTTTTTGTCATCGTTATAAAGTCATTTTGAAAAGTACAAAGGGCCGGCCCAGCCAATCATTAATGGCTAGGTGCAAGAACCCACTAGAAGCATCGGACCGGAAAAGGTAAGTCCGAGCATAAGGAAGGTATTTTCTCAAAACAAATTTTATACAGTCCACTAAATTTTTTCTGAACCAAAAAGTAGCAGAGTCCAACCCTTTCCTAACTGGGACAGTTAGCAATTTATTTCTTAACATGTAATTTACGAATCACTCAGTAGATTTTTTTCATATTTTACAGGTATTTTGTATTTTAAAAAATTACTTTATTCATATATTTGAAAAGAGGACAAAAACTGAATTACATTACGTATTTTTTATTTTCATACAGATAATTTTACTGAGGTCACCTGAAATTTTTTATCAGGTTGTTTAGAGACTGGAGGATTTTTTCTTGTTAAGACTATAAGAGTCTCTCATTTGACATAAACAAGTGACACATTATATTTTTATACTTGCTATTTGTAGTTAGGTACAACGGAGGAGGTAAGCAGCATGCACTGTGTCCAGGTGGTGAAAGCGGTCATGTGACCTGTGAAATTTAAAAAAATATAGTTGCTTATTAGTGAATTTTTTAACCGACTTCAAAAAAGGAGGAGGTTCTCAATTCGTCGCAATATTTTTTTTCAGCGATAATTCTTTAACGCGGTGTCTGATTTTAATGATTCTTTTTTTTTGTTAGAAAGGGAGTACTTTAGGGATGGTCCCATATAAATTTGGTCAAAATCGAATAATTGGGTCCATGAGAAAATCCTCAAACTCTTCATTTTTATGTATGTTTAGCGATAATGCTTTACCACCTTGTCCGATTTATATGATTCTTTTTTTGTTAGTAAGAGAGTAGCTCAGGGGTGATCCCATATAAATTTGGTTAAGATGTGGTGATGGTATCTGCATGTTTTCGAAGTCTTTTTTTTTTAATTTCTAATACTTGTTTTCTCAATGCTTTTGTCAATAACAATAGAAAAATTTATTTGCAAGCATTTTCTGTCGTCAGGTTTTGTTATAGGGATTTCAGTCACGTGACTGACTGATAAGAGACTATAATCCATTGGATATATTAAAAAAATAACTTTTCCAATCGTGAAAAAATCTACTGGGTGGTTAGCAAGTAATTTGAACTCATTAAATATGAATTTTTAGAATCCCCCTCTGTCCACTGTTGATGTATGTACTTTTTCTCAATAACACTCCTTTTTTTTTTGTTTATTTTGTTACATCTTGTCTTCATTTTTGTAGGTTCAGTTATACGGTCATCATAAACACATCAGACCGTATAATCAAATAAATCCTGGCTTTAGGCCTCATAGAATGCTGTATCAACCAAATCAAATTATCCAGGCACCAGTACAACCGCAAAATCAAAAAGCACATTGGCAAAATCAAATCCAAAGGCCTGTAATGGAACAACAGAAACATTTAGAACCGCAACCGCAAGCTAACATTTGCGAGAGAGTTCCACCTTTGTATCAGCACACTCCGTCATTGGCTGTTTGTCAAGAGGATATCAAGAGAAAGAAAGTGAAACTTAACAAGTTTGGAAAAAACAGGCCGTACCGGTTGATAGAAGGTTGTTCTACCAATCATTTTTCTTGTCCAAACATCGATATAAGGCATATTCCTCCTGAACACAGGACAATAATGATGAATAACTTTTCGCAAAACGTTAAGAGTTCCAGTCCTTCTTTTATGGAAGATCCCAGTGGTTATCTTGCCCAACAGACTGCTTTATTGAATAGTACTATTAATAGACAAACGGGTTAGTGGGTTTTTCTAAAAAAAAAAATTTTTATCTTAAATAATTTTATCTTTCAGGCGCTAGTGGATGTGCTGGTTACACATGTAGTAGTCCTGGAACATGTCAAAATCCCCAGCAGCAAAATCATAATAGTCCTTCAAATACTCCACCAATTCTAATATCTCCTTCAAATGAATTAAATTCATTGGTAAAAGTTTCTCGTAACAATTTACCTAGAGTTCAACAAGACCCTTGCGCCCCTATCACAACGCCGCAGAACAACTTGATACAAGTGCAGCCTAATTTCGACAATAATACTCTTACTAAATCTCACCAGTACTCCGTTCAATGCCGTTGTTGTATAGGCGAAGGTTTTCAGCCAAATTACCAAATTAAAATCGCTAGATCAAATCCGGCATCAATGTCTAACATTCACAACACTCTAGAGGATCCTGTTACATCATCGACTTCTTATGAAAAGCAGTTTAATCAAAACGCGTCTGAAGTGCAGCCTATACAAGGGGGGACAGTTAGTACAAGTAATATATCTCCCATGGAAGGTACTTCTAATCCACCAACACCGGATCCACCTCATAGAATCGTCGAAGGATCTCCTATAACCAGCAGTGGTTACACCACATACATCAAAACCAATCTTCCCGAATATGTGGGTCAAGTTAGGCAAACGATTTGCGGAAAACCCAATGAAAACGTTTGTTGCTATCATTCTCAAGCTTCTACTTTGGTTACAACCATGGCAAGTAGTAGAACTGTAGGTAGCAATACTATAACTTCAGTTCTAGCTGGCAGAACGAATACGGCAACCGTTTCATTGAATACTCCTTCTGCAATGACTAATCCTTACATCTCCGTTTCCGGACAAAATACCGTCACTGTACAATCGCAGGCTATGACTGTAACAAAATCTCCCTTGGAAATGGTTCAAAGTGTTGTTAGTAGCATTCAAATACCGCATTCGAATTCATCCCATACTTCTCAAATCGGAAAACCGGATGGTTTACCTCATGAGCATATTCTAGTGAGTGAATCACATAGTTTGTCGAATGCCCGTGGTTCCCAAGAAGAAATCCACGTTCCAACCAAGATCGTTACGAATGAAGGCATGCCGCCAGTAACAGTTTCACCTATGGTGACTAACGTAACTTCGTCTGTAGGAGCTGTAATACCAGCTGTTGGACAACAAGTACTCGGCCAACAAACAGTCTTAGTAAACACTCTTCCCACTCCGTTCGTTTTGCAACCAGGCGTAACCATGACAATGGACGGCGTTCCAGTAGGTCAAAATTTACAATTGCCACAATTTGTTGCCGGAAATATTATACAACAACAAATTCAAATCGACAACCCCGACACCCGCCGAGTTCCATCTTTGTTGTCTCCAGATACCAAGAAAAAAGGGAAAAAGAGGAAGGAACCTCCACAAACTGTTGCTAGTATGCTACAGTTTGCTAATCAGCAGAATTCTGGAGTCGTAATTTCCCCGCAAGGTTTCCCGCAACAAATTCAAATGGCAAATAGTCCGCAACCTGTCACGGGAACGCCCGTTATGCAAGCCGTCACTATTGTGCCCAATAAAAACGGAAGCGCAGCTCAAATCATTATGAACGATCAAACTATGGGTAATTCGAATCTTGGAAATCAATCGCAACAAATCAATTTATTGCAACCTGTGAACTTAATAAATGGTACCGGCGTTGTTCAGAATTTCCCTGCTATTCACCAGTTTATCGTTCCAAATTTGGGCGGTATGGTCGTAAATCCGGACGGTACCGCGACTATTCTTCAAGACGCCTCTAATTTGGGAATGCAGTTTCAATTTCAAAATGTTAACGGTCAAAATATGCTTACTCCGGTCCAAAATAGCAGCTTATTCAATAACGGCCAGGCAATTTTCGCAGCCGGACCGTCGGGGATGGTTATCAGAGGTCCTCCGACTTCGCAAGGTAAAATTATTCAACAACAACACAGTCCGGTTGCGCAATTTCTGTCACCGAACGGAGGGCAATTTATAATGAACGGATCTCAGTTTAGCGGCCAGTTAAGTCCTCTCGTAGCCAGCGTTAGCCCTAATCAGCAAGTAACCTTCAATAGTCCTCCACAACAAATTAGAACTAGTAATTCAATGCAACCAACTCAACAGGAATATATCCAAATGAACGGCCAGTTAGGACAAACTCTAATCGTACCTTGTACTTTAACTTCAAGTATCCCAGTGTCAAATCAATCTTCGAATCAGAATACCACATTTTTACAACAAAACACCACAATAGTTCAACAACAAACGACAATGCTTACGAATCAAGGTTTGCAAAATTATCAAAATAATCAAAACGCGCAGAGCAGTTCGAGGCCGACAACGATTGCCTCCGATCAAATTTACTGTAACAAGCCTCTTGAGGAATGTAGGGAGAGTCCGAAGTCATCTAGTCATTGCAGGCAATCGGTTTCCACGCAGACGGCCGTTAATCAAAGCGTTCAATCGATTATAACTAATACTTCTTGTCAGACTTCGACTATGTCGGCGTCTAGTCCGCCTGATACGACTACTTTGAGTCCGGTGCCGGTCGCTTCTGAAATTCAAAGCCCTATACTCGCCGATACCACTACTCACACCGACGATGGTTTATCGCCTGTACCTTTGAGTTGCTCGACGCGAAATGATCCCAGGACGGATTCTAGATATTGTACCATGGTAAGTAATTTTAATTTTAACACATGGATTATTATTTTTATTAACTGTTTACTGTCTATGATTGGCAAACTGCCACACACATTGTAGACGATGAAAAAATTAGATGGGCAATATCCAGCTTCTCTCCATTTAAATCGACAGGACCTGACGGTATCTATCCAGCCCTACTTCAGTGGGGTCTGGAAGAACTCTCACCGTACCTGGTGGGTATATTCAGATCCTCGTTGGCTCTGAGGTATATCCCCCAAAAATGGAGAGAGGTAAAAGTGGTATTTATACCCAAACCTGGAAGGAAGGATTACACTGTCCCAAAAACATACCAACCAATTAGTCTGACATCGTTTTCTATGAAGACATTGGAAAGGCTATGCGAAAGGTACATAAGGGATGCGGTGATTACAACAACACCACTACACCCAAACCAACATGCATACACCCCAGGCAGATCTACTGATTCAGCCCTTCATCTAGTTGCTGGCCGGATAGAAAGATCCCTGGACAATAAGGAGTCCGCCTTGGGTGTTTTCATAGACATAGAAGGTGCTTTTGATAAAACCACCTTCTTAAAGATAATTCACTCACTAACCAATAGGAATGTTCCGCAAATGGTTAGTGGGTAGATACATAACATGCTCCCAAAGTGAGCAGTAAACATAAGTGTAGAAGATGTAAATATAAGAGGCTTGGTTGCGAGGGGATGTCCACAGGGAGGGGTGCTATCACCTCTACTGTGGAATATGGTCCTTGACACCCTCATCAGCCGCCTTAATAATGACAGTCACTACACAATAGCATATGCAGATGACCTGGTCATTCTGAAGACAGGGAATTTTGAGAACATACTCTGTGAAAGAATGCAAGTAGCTCTAAAAATTATAGAACGGTGGTGCAAGGACCATTCACTGTCTATTAATCCTAAGAAGACAGAAATGGTCCTTTTCACAAGGAAAAGGTTAAAAATGGAATTAAAACCTCCAGAACTCCTAAACACAAAACTAAACTTTGCAACAGAGGTGAAATACCTATGTCCACATACTTTGATTTTCTTTTACTATACGGAGAATGGTCGCACTGCGCAGCTTTCTGAGTGCCTTTTAAAAGGAGATAGAAAACTCCGCCATTTTGAACCCTTATTACGTGTTGCCTACATCTTGGGGCAATATTTTTAATTGGTGCGTTTTAATCATCCGCTTCTGCTTCGGAATTGTCGGTTTTCTTGTTTTAATCTGACAGGTTAAAACGACTAAACCGACAATTCCGGAAGCAGAAGCGGATGATTAAAACGCACCTGATATTTTGCTTGCTGCTGTCGGTGTCAGTGAATATTATTTTTGAAGTCACAGTTTATTACTAAAGAATCAGTTAGCTCACTCGGACCAGTTGAAAGTTCCAAAATAACATCCACTCCAGGGATACAAATTTAGGATACGCAGAAGACTGCTGTTTTATTATAGGCGGTTGTCATATATTGTATTATCCGAGTTGCACAGTGTATAAACTGAAACATTAAGATCCAAAGTGCCGACGCAGAGTGAGCGATCTGATTCTTTAGCTGTAAACTGTGTCACAGGGTTCAAAATGGCCGCGCCCTATGTTGGGCGTGTCGGACCTCTCTCTTGCCTCGTATAGTAATCAAAGTATGTGCCTATGTCTCACCTTTGACAGCAAGTTAACATGGAACTCGCATTTAGAAAACAGAGTTAAAAGAGCATACATTGCTTATAAACAATGCCGCCGAACCGTGGGGCGCACCTGTGGTTTCTCCCCCAGCGTCGTTGCATGGACTTACACGGCTATCATAAGACCTATGCTAACATACGGTGCAGTGGTCTGGGTACCGAAAACCCAAAAATTAACAGCTATCCGTAAACTAGAACAAATTCAAAGAACAGCATGTCTCAACATAACAGGAGCCATGAAAACAACACCGACTAGAGCCATGGAAGTCATTCTTAGTCTCACTCCCCTTGATATTTACATCAAGGAGGTTGCTCTGACGACAATGACACGCCTCCGCACGGTCGGAATAGAACCTGATGAAGGATTTGGTGAGGCGAGACGTCACTTTTGGTAGGAGGCGCTGGATACGCTCCCACTGCTTCAAGCGAACATGGACTCCATCTCACCAAAATATATCTTTCATAAGCCATATAAAGTTATAATAGAACAAATAGAAGAGCCAGAAGTGGCAGGTACGATTCATATCTACACGGACGGTTCTAAAACAAAACAAGGCTGAGGATGTGGAATATACTCCAGATTCTTAAACCTAAACATAAAATGGGCTGTGAGCAATAGTGCCAGTGTAGTTCAAACAGAGCTAACAGGTATTCTCATAGCAGCAAAAGAAATAACCAGAAACAATATCACTGGAAGGAACATGCTCATCTATACAGATACCAGACAAGCACTGCTCACCCTTAACAGACCACGAATTTATTCAGGGTTAGTACTAGAATGTCACGAAGCTTTGGCCGAAGTATCCATCAACAACGTGGTCACCTTAAGATGGATTAAAGGTCACGCCACATCGAAAGGTAACCATTTTGCTGATTCACTAGCCAAGAAAGCAGCCAACCAAATACTTTTTGGACCTGGTCCTTCTATTGGCCTGACAAAATCGATAGTGACAGGCCTAATCAAAGAACATTTCCTTGTGAAATTCAAGGAAAGATGGGATGAGACAAGAAACTGCAGAGTTGCCAGGGAGCTCTTTAAGTTATCCTGACAACACTGCAGCAAACAAATACTTGACTATGACTAGACAGAATCTGCGCCTAGTCACAGGCATTCTGACTGGTCATTGCCAAGTACGAAAGCATCCCCATATCATCATCATCTGAATTAGGGCGTGGTTCAAAGCCCACTTGTACTGAAGCTCTAGGCTTATTGTACCCCTCACAGTTTCTATCCCATCAGATTGATTTTCTTGATGAATTCAAGAATATGTCTGATGGCGCTTTCGCGATTTCTTCACGTTCCGGATATTGTACCCCGAAGTACCATTCCCGTTCCCATTTAAGGTTCCGGCAGTGGCATAGTATGTGAATAGGAGTTTCGTCCTCCTCTTCACATATTCTGCATAGGGAGTCATCAGATATCCCTAAGAGATTTAGGTGTCTTCTAAGGCCGCAGTGTCCCGTAAGGAGTCCTATTACGGCCTTGAGTTCGCTTCTGCTAAGGTTTAGCAGTTGTTGTCTGCTCGTGGATGGCCCCTCTATGAATCTTTTGGACTGTCTAAGTCCAGGAAGTTCCATCCAGAGCCTATGGTGTTCTCTTTTTATTTGTTCCTTTAACACCCATTTAACATGTTGGTATGAGATACCACATGTGGGTTCTGGTCCAATAAGAGTTTTTTCCGCTCCCTTCCTTGCTAGGAGGTCTGCTTTCTCGTTTCCAAATACTCCCTCATGTCCTGGCACCCATTCAAGGGTAACCTTGTTATGTTCTGCCAGAGCCTGGAGGGATTGTTGGCAATCAAATATTGATCTCCATATCATGGGGCTGTCAGAATCCGCACTCTGCAGAGGGTGCGAACAAGAAGATTGGACCATCGAGCATATCCTTTACGATTGGTTGACGCTCTCAGTTATTAGAAGATTTGTGTTTGGCGAGTATTGGCTAACACCGACCGATATAAGAGAAGCACCTCTTGGCGACGTTGTCAACTACATAAAATCTGTAGGCTGGCTCACGAGCTAGGAGGTGCCTATCATCTCAGGAGGATGCACAATGGGCCTAATGAGGCCTAAGTGCCGTGGGGGTAACCCACCCTCCACACGTTACAGATTACAAATAGTATTCACTATGATGAACAACAGAAAAATGAGCTCTCCACATTTTATAAGTATTTTGCCACTTGCATCTTGGAGTCACATAATTTTTTCTCACAGGCTATGGTGCACTGTATATCAAGCAGTGAACCTGATCCATCCGATATCCCTACTCAAGATCAGGAATGGAAACATCTGCAGGCAAGCAGTAGCCATAGAAATGACGCATACGCGGCTATTGCTCACATCGATAAATTGCCATCCTCTCATTTAGCCTCGGCGGAATCGTCTACATTGGTAACGAGCTTGCATTATGGATCCGATCAGGAGGCGATAAGTAGCTCGAAACATTTTGACAGAAAAAGTCCCGGTGAATGTTGCGCCGTGATGGAAACGCATCACGAACAGATGTCTCTATTTGGTGGTAACGGTGGTATTCATAATCAGAATGAAATCAATGAAAATGTTCACGGTGATGACCATGCTGGTCATCATAGCGAAGGAGAAGAGGATGAGGATTCTCACGAAGGTAACATAAAGGTTAAATAAAATAAATATTAAAAAGAAAACGTAGTTTAATTTTTGATTAATAATAATTTCTTATGTTTTTTAGGATATTTGGTCGGCAGTCTTCTAATAAATACTTGATTCAGTTCTAGAGCATTGAGGATGTTTGTATTTATTCATAATCTTTAGCTCCACATTTTAAGAAAAATATGTAATTTACTGTTTTCATGTTAGTTATCTTACATTGTTTTAATTTCAACAAACAATACTAGGAGACCAAATTTCTCTCTAGTCGCTTTAATATCAAGTACTATATTATAAGAGTTTTTGTATCTATATAGCGAAATAAAATAGATTTGTATAATTACTTTAGGAATAATGTATAAAACAGTAGCAAGTAATACACATTTGTTTAGATAATGTTTTTCTTTTTTATTCTTTTACAATATAACCTTAAACAATTTATGTTTCCCTTAATCTAATATTTATAGATCTTTTAGTGGTTCTAACTGCTATGCTTATACTTATAAATGTCACTTATTGTTAACTTTTTAGAATACATTTTATATCATTCAATAATGAGGAAATAAGTTAACTAGGTCGAGGGTAATGCCGATGTGTTCGATTATCACTAAAACTAGAAAAATATTCGTAAATCGCAACCCTTTGGCTTATAAATGCGAATAATTATTAAAGGAATTAACACCAACCAACGATTATCGCAAGTCAACACTAGGTTTAATTCTAAATGAAGAAATAAAATAAAAATGTAAGTTTTCATTATTTTCCAAGCGAGAGTCCTGAAATTTTCTTTCTTGCTATAAATGGATACCTACAAGCTCACATTACGTACGTTTTGTGACTTGCTACAAACATATATTGTAATATGTAACGTAGTCAAATAAAATTTACTTTACTTTTACTTACTTTACATTATTAAGATTTTGCTACATTTTATCTCTAGAATCAAACTGCACTCTGCATTTATTTCCGTTTACATAGTTACAAAGTTCACTTGGATACTTTGTTTGTGTAAGATCCAGATAGGTGAAGATTTCTATCAAATTCGTCTTAATCACATGATAAATATCATATTTATTTCGAAAGCACGGTAACTAAACTTAAATTAACATTAAATGAAACTCAAAAACACTATTATAACGATAATGATATCTAAAAACAGTTAAAAAAAATCACATACAAAACAACAATAATACCAACAATGTATATAAACAAATCGACCAACAATCGGGTAAAGAGCTCTCTCAAAAAAGGTCATTGGCATGGGCGCCGCCCCAAGAGGGCAAGGGTGCGTCCTACGGTGTTTTGACCCTGCCTATAAGACTTGTCACCCCTGGAAGTTTTTTGAAAGAAATGTGAAATCCCGCCCAAAACAAGCACAATGTAAATAAGCAAATAGGTGACAAATGACAGGCAGGCGAAAATTAATTTGAATTGCGAATTGCTAAAGAGTTAATAAATTTAATAAGTCCAGAACGACGCAACACAAAATCAAAGGTACTTAAAAACCTCGCAGTTTTCTTTGTATTCGGCTTACTATCAAAACCCTCTAGTTTATTTTTTGTAGTTTTTTATTATTTCACATTTCTAGAACAGAAGTAAAAGTTGGAAATGCTTTTGCCAGTTCTCCCACTTTATACACATAAATTGACAGGTTGGTAGCGGATCTCACCGAAGTGGACGCGATACATTGGCGTACAAAATTATTTTGTAGATGTTAATAACAATTTCGAGTAAATAGTTTAATAAATTGTGAATAGCTGTTGAAATTTTGTAAAATTATAATTTGAATATTATAATACATGTTTAATAATTATTTATCATCCATAAATACATGCGATTGTCCGGTTCCGCCGATAACAATTTAAAATTACTTATTCTATGAAACGACACTGGCAGGTAAACATTACTGTGAAATTCTCGGAGCTGCCCGACGTGGTTTGACGTTTACCCCCTCTCTACCTACCAAAAGACTTTTCAACTTTTACTTTCTCTATAACACCGACATCTTGCATAACCATGCAAGTCTAGCGCGATTGTAAGCTTCATTTAGGGCATATTGTATTCCAAAATGTCTTTTTTTTGTGTGTGTGTCATCGGCATCAACTGCTACGGTCGAGAAAACAGTGAAATTTCCCGTGATAATAGCAAGCAACATCAATAAGTATGAAAAATTGCGCCATACACTATCAAATAATATTTCCTTTCAAGCCACAGCTCTAAGCACTAACCAGTTTAAAATTAATACTACACAAGAAGAAGACTTCAAAAATGTCATATCAACCTTGAATGCCAAAGAAATAAATTGGCATTCCTATGAAATTAAATAGAACAGAGACATTAAAGTAATGGTTAGAGATCTACCACCTACATCTAAACCAGAAGATATTGTTGAAGACTTGCAAAGTCAAGGATTAAATTGTAAAGAAACTGTCAATATAATAAAGAAGGAAATAGAATTAACCGACGATAACACTATCATTCGAAGATATTAAGAAAATCTACGAAATCAGAACAATACTTAATCTAAAAGTTAGAATAGAAACCATAAGAAAGTCAAAACTAGTTCCGCAATGTAAAAACTGCCAGCTATTTGGACATACGCACAACTTTTGCAAAAGAGAATCGAGATGCGTGAAGTGCGTAGGAAAACATCATACAAAGGATTGTGTAAAAATCCAGAACAACAACCGAAGTGTATAAACTTCCTAATGGAACATCCTGCTAACTACAGAGGATGTGAGGTAGCTAAAACTTTTCAGATAAGGAAGGATAACACCACTAAACCTAAAATAATGAAGAGACAGAAGAGATCTATTAACGCTTTTCCTACTGTCAGAAATGAAATAACATTCTCAGGTAACAAACTCACAGGAGCAACCAATTCAAAGGTCACAACCAGCCATGAATTCCACTCCACAAATTGCGCAGCATACTTCACAGTCAACCCCGCTTAGCAGAAAGTACTACTCATGAATTATTATTATTATCCTTAATAACCAGAATATATTCACTCTCTGACAAGATCCAGAAGCTAGAAAAATTAAATAAACCTCAAACATAACAAAACCACAAATGGACAAAAGAGATAGAATAGCCACTTGGAATATCAATGGTATTCTCTAAAAACAAACTGATATCCAAGTTTTCTTGGACGTACAAAAAATAGATGCATGTCTGATTTCTGAGACCCACCTTACAACAGTCATACATTAAATTCAGAAGATATAACTTCTATCACACTATCCATCTATCAAATGCAACAAGAGGAAGAAATGCGTTAATTATTAAAAATAACATTTCCCACTATGAGGAACCAGGCAACCAAGAACCAGAAAATCAGGTAACTATTAGCAACATTAAGGGGGGCAAAATTACAATAACTGCAAGATACAACCAGAAAAAGAAACATTATCTCAATATACTCAAAAAACTAGGTAACAAATTTATAATCGGTGGAGATTACAACTCCAAACACACAAACTGGGTTTCAAAATTAACCACAGTCAAAGGAAAAGAATTGCACCGAGCTGCATCAGTCCTTGGTTGTACATACCAATCTTCTGAAAAACCCACCTATTGGCCCACCGACCCAAATAAGATTCCAAACCTTTTGGATTTCTTTATTCTGAGGAAAATTTCACCAAACTATATACAAGTAGAAGAAAACTTTGATATGGATTCAGACCATTCTGCAGTAATCCTTACTCTAAGTGATAATGTTTCAAAGAGAAGCCAAATCGACCCTAGCAAATCGTAAAACTAATTGGGAAGGTTTTCAAGAGGACTTAACAAATACTATTTAACTGACCATAACACTAAAAACGAAAAATCAGCTAGATGAAGAACTGGAAAGGTTTATAGTTGAAATCCAGCAAGCTGCATGGAGGAACACACCAAAAGTAACAAGATTAAGAGCTGGAAAAAACTATTCTGTCGAGATAAGAGAACTAGTAGCAGAAAAAAGAAAGAAATGGCAGATGACAAGATCACCAGAAGATAAAAATATATTAAATAGGGCTACCCAAAGACTGAGAAGAGAAATTCTAAATCACAAAGAAGAATCCTTCAACAGATACTTAGTAGGGCTAACAGATGTTAAAGAAACTGATTATTCACTCTGGAAGGCAACTAAAAAGATGAAAAATTCGTGTAAACACTGTCCTATCAGAATAGCAGATAACAAATGGGCAAGAGACAACAAAAAGCTGATATTTTCGTTGACTACCTACAAAAGACGTTCCAATTAGATGGAAATCAAGACACTCCTAATGAGACCATCCATAATATGGAACAACTTGAAATTGAGCTAGTTACTCTCAATGAAGTTACGAAAGAAATTCAGACAAACATCAACTCACAGAAAGCCCCAGAAACTGGAGAAATATTAAAGAAACTACCACGGAAGGCTATTGTTAAATTGACTTACCTCATAATTGCAGCATTTCACCTTAAATATATACCTGATGCGTGGAAAATGGCTAAAGTTATCCTAAGTGTCATCATATAGACCTATATCATTGTTACCGATAATTAAGTTATTTGAAAAACTACTACTAAAACGACTAAAACCAATAATTGAAAATAAAAATCTGATCCCTTCGCACCAATTTGGTTTTAGAAACAAACACTCGACAATAGATCAAGTACACAGGATAGCCGATATCATCGAAAAAACTTACGAAGAAAAATATATATGCTCAGCTATATTTTTTTTACGTAGCCCAAGCATTTGACAAGGTTTGGCACGCTGGCCTAATACAGACACTTGAAAAAATACTCCTTAGACAATATGTCGACATTCTACAATCATATTTAACGGGAAGAATGTTTAGAGTAAAGCAAGACGAGGCATACTCCGAAATGAAAGAAATTAAAGCAGGTGTCCCATAAGGCAGTGTGCTAGGACCGGTTCTTTACTTATTATACACCAGCGATATCCCTCAACAACAATCTGTTAAAATAGCAACATTTGCGGATGACACTGCAATATTGTCAGTTGGCGGAACTAATACAGAGACCTCAGAAAAACTTCAAGAAACCTGCAACAGAATCAATCGATGGACAAAAAAGTGGAAAATAAAAATAAATCAAACTAAATCAGTGCATGTTGATTTTAC